TTTGCTCCTGAATTAGAGACTTATTGCAATCTCTCCAAGGCTGCATGGAATGGAGAGATGCAATCACAAGGAGTTGCAAAGTAAGCTTTGCATGACACCCCAGTGAGGGAGTGCAGGGCACTCTAGGCAGGGGGTGCTCTTATGGATCACCTCACATAGGTTGAAGGGGTGATTTGTTGGATATCACCCCATGTGAGAGGTGATCATTTTCTCTATATGAAAATGAGGTGGCCATGTGGAGAAAAACGAGCAAGAATGTGCCAACCGACAAGCCAGCACCGAAAGTGAAGGAACAACTGGCCATGTGCAAGGCCAGCCAACCTCTCCACCTTCTCTTCAGTGTATAAATGGAGAGACTGAGGGGAGAGTTTAAATAGAGAGAGAGCAATACAAGAAAGGAAGAATAAGTGATATACAAGAGAGTGTATATCTCTGTGAGAGTGAGAGGAAAAACCAAAGAGTGTAAGGCAATAGAGAGCGTGTGAGTTGAGTGAGAGAGTCTCCTCCTCTGTGTAATCTCTATTTGTTTTTAGTGGAAATTTCTGGTTCTCTCCGTGGACATAGGCATTGAGGCCGAACCACGTAAATCTTGTGTTCATTAGTGTGTTTGATTTCTGGTAGTTCAGGTGGGTTGCCTTAAAACCCAATATCATTGGAGACTGGAAAAGATCAGGCTTGAGCAAGTAGTGGATCAAGGGAGATTAGGATTGGTCAAGGGGGTGATCAGAGGATTACAGAGATGATTATCTCCGGAGTTGATTAGAAGATCTAGTTCAATTAGAAGAGAAGACCATTCATCGACGGATAGATGATTTGCAACAAGTACAGGCTTAGGGAAATGCTGTGGCAGTTAGAGCTACCTATACGAATTGGTACTGGTGGTATGTGGACGAGTAAAACAATAGTTGCAAAGGAGCATACTAAGCACAGAAGTCCAAATGCAGACGTGCAACAGTGCAAGGGTACGCTAGAGTGTCGTACAAAGACGCGTAAAGAGTGTGTAGCAACGGGTTGTTGAAAGTTCATAGGAACCTCCAAACAGAGAAATTGAGACGGATAAAACGCAAGAGTGCACGCCAAGGTATGGCAAGTCTCTTTTCTCTATGGTGGTTTCTTTAGTTCCATGGCAGCGGAGGATAGCGTTGATGCGGATCTCTCAGGCGAGCTCGACGCAGGGAGACCAGAAGCCATGGGTGCAAGCAGTATGCAAGAAATTGCATAGCTGACAATGCTTTGATAGATGGAGCTACTGTCAACCATCAATCTACTGAACAGCAAATCAGGGATTGCAAAGGCACAGATGACGAGCGTATGGGAACGCTAGGAGGTTGTTCAGAAGTGCAGAGGGCAAAGGCTGATTATTCAGAGGAAAAGCTCCGAGCAAAGAAGACAAAGGAAGTTGACCAAGCAAAGCTTGTTGTTTGGAAAACAAAGAGTGTTTTCTGTTGCTCCAGCCGTGTATTGTGATACATGGAAGGTTAGGGTCATTCCAGAAAGGAACTGCAATGTCACTAAGCACTCAAGGGAGTGCAGGGCATCCAATCAGGGGGTGCAAGATATCTTGGTTATGCAAGTTCAAGCATAGCAGGTGAAGACATCCGAGACAAGAAGCGTGCAAGAGATCTGTGGGAGATAGGAGCAGAGGCTCTCTCTAAATCAGAGTGGTGTGAGTTGAGTTGAGGATGTAGGATTCCCTCCTCCTCTTGTATCTCTAGTGTGTTATCTGTAGCTTCAGGGGATACAAACGTCTCAGTGAGCAGATGTAGGTCGTGACAAGATTAGCAGTAGTGTGCGTACTGGATCACCTCACATGGGTTGAGGGGGTGATTTATTAGATATCACCCCATGTGAGGAGTGATTCTCTTCTCCATGTGAAGTCAGCTGCAGCATGTCAAGGAGTGCGGCTACCAACCGACATGCCATAAAGATGGACGGCACCGAAAGTGAAGGAACAGTTGGCCATATGTTGTGCCAACCAAGCTCTCTAGCTTCCTCCATCTTGGTGTATAAGTGGAGAGGCTGAGAGGAGAGTTGAGTGAGAGAGCAAACCAAGAGAGAGTAAGAGATGCAAGGCAGAGAGACCGTCTCTCTCGGTGTGAGAGAGGGAGACGGGTGAGTGGGTGAGCTCGGTTGGTGTGAGCTCCTCCTCTATTGTAATCTTTCTATGATCTCTCCATTGTTATAGTGATAATCGGTTACTCTCCCGTGGACGTAGACATTAAGGCTGAACTACGTTAAATATAGAGTCTCGTTAAATATAGAGTCTCCTTGGGTGTATGTGTTTTTTTTTTTTGCTCGGTATAATTTCTAAAAGGTCTTGGGCGGGATCCCGGATCCCCATATAAAGAGCTTACATTCACATGGCCAAGCATGGGCTTAACCAACCCCTCTAAGGCAAATTCATAGCGTGGTGCTAGCTCTGACACCAAATGATACAAACCTTTGAATAGGCTTGAAACCAGCTTACAAGGAGAGGATGCCCAAAAGCTGATATTCACGTGGCCAAGTATGGGCTTAACCGATATGGGACAGCAGTAGTAAAGCAAGCAATCATGTCTAGCTCAATACACAGCTGAAATTTTTTTTTTTAAATTTACTTTTGGTTAAACTGGAGCACTAAAAAATAAATTAACAGCCTCAGTTGGTCAACTTTAAGCAAGACATTCAAATCCAAAATATAAATCACAATTACTAGGGCCCGTTTGTTTTCCTCCATCAGAGTCCGAAGTGGACTAGGAATGATGAACGTTGACCCATCTTCATGTTTGTTTTGATTTTAGAGCTCCGGATTCATAGTCTCCTCCGGACTACGAAAGGCATTGGCGAGAGGATTAGAAGTCTGGACTGGGAGATGGTATTAGAAAATAGTCCGTTCGACTTACCGTGTTACCAATCGTCCGGGGGGATGTCCGGCCGGACAACCGACCAAGTGATTTTTTTTTTACATGTTGGGCATTTTTTTTAAACATTAATGTTTAATGTTTTTGTATTTTTTGCTAAATAAAAATTATTGTTTTATTTTTTTATTATTTTATATTAAAATAATTTAACAATTCTCATACTAACAACGATCATCAAAACAAATACAATTTTACTTAATCCCCTCCCTAATAATCCCCTTCATTCTACCTTTGAAAACAAACGGTCCCTAGTGTCCCTATCCCCCACCCCACCTCAGCAAAAGTAATGACACATAATAAACCATTGTGCATCATATAAAATTCTTCATCGAATTCTATAAAATATAAAGTAATGTAAGCATAGACAGTTTATATATATATATATATATATATCCAGCTATAACACAAGCAATGGCAACACAGCACCCAGATGTCAATAGAAAATAGAAATAATTATTCAATAAACAGCTATCTTGTTTAATGAAATCCAGTTGGATATATACATCTAAAGCTGGAAAGAAGACGATAAACTAAGACTTGCCCACAAAGAAAGGTTGACGCCCTGTCGGCCCTGTCTCCAACTCCGGTACGCAAATGTTTGGCATCATAAATATTAGTAGTAATGGGCCTAATGGACACCATGTACAGTGGTGGGGCTAAACAACACTAGAAATGCAAAGATTATGTATAATCATATTAGTCCCTGGACTATCTAACTATCTAACTGGGACCATTCTTCAAGTATCTTAATTAATAGACAGTGCAGTTTCTTTAATGTCTCTATATTTGAGGAACACGCACATGCGTATACAATAAAGAAAACCTTGTTTATGGATTGCTTTATTTTATCAGCCTTAAATTTTTTTATTGCTAAAGACAAAGTTAAGCTCCTAAATTAGCGCGGTGCACTTGCTGCAATTTTGTTGGTATACCACATTACCAATGCCACGTACTAACCAGTTTGATAGTGCTTTTGGTTTTCTTTTTTGTTTTTGGTGCTTGGAAACAAAAATTATAAATAAATAAAAAAACACTCATTATTTTCATTTTTGTGAAAAAATAACTTCGGAAAATTCAGAAATAAAAAATAAAAAAACAGATTTTTGGTGTTTCCTAAAAAGTGAGTTGTTTTCCAAAAAAAAGTGTTTTAAGTTTTCTGGAAAAAAAAAAAAAAAACAGAAAACAGAAAATAGAAAACAACAATACAACCAAACAGGCTCTAATTTCTTTTATATCAGTAAAAACAGTTTGTAATATGTCCTGGACCTTGAAAAGAAGTAAAATGATTTAGCCGTACCAAAAGTAGAATTAAATGTATAAAAATAAACCTACGCAAATTTATAAAGTTTGCTAATTTAATGGTAAATATATATCGAGAAATCAGAAAACATGGTGTACTTCATGGTAGAAATGTCTAGGGTTTGGCCATGGAATGGAGATTTTTTTTTTTTTGGGAGAGAAAAAAATTGAAAAGAAAAGGAAAGAAAATACCATGGTGTGGAAAGAACATAATGAGGGGGAAAAAAACAGACGAAGGTGTGAACTGAGACAGTGAAGAAAACTTGGGGGAAAATAATAATTGTGAACAAACCTAGCATTCATAAACAAAATACACACACGAAACAAAAATGTTTGTCATACCAATAATCTCCACTCTCTGCAAAGATCAAAATTATCTTTCTTTTCCATTTTTCCTTCTGTTTTTCTGGGTAAAGTGAAATCAAAGTAGTCATCCAAACAGACAAGCAATCACAGAATGAGACAAAGGAACAAAAACAAAGCACCCATTTGAGCTAAATTTGACCACAACTCATCTCCCAAAACTACAAGGACATTAATCACTTTTCACACCCAGTTGCAAAATTAGAATGTGAACCCATAATCACACACATAATATAAAATTATATGAATAGGATTAAACAGACAAACAATCAAAGAACGAGAAAAAGGAACAAAAGATAACATCAATTTGAGTTAAATTGACGACCCATCTCCTAAAATCACAAGAACATTTAAACCCATTTGCAAATTTGGAATGTGAAACCTTAATGATACACACACACACACACACACATATATATATATATATCGATTACTCACTTTGGGAGATGGAAAATGAAGCTTGGCATTGAAGCCCATTTGGGACTCAAAATCGCCATTGTACCTCCGGCCGGAGGGCGAAGAAGCCGGCGAGTTGGGTCTGAGAAACCTCTCAAAAATGGCCATGACAAGGAACATGGAGATGAGAATGGCAGTGGCAACAAACCCAAATGAAATAGCATTGACTGAGTTATCAAAGTGCCTCCAATGATCATCTCTCTCTGAATATGAAGGAGCTCCAGTTGGTGGCAAGCCCCAATGATCTTCTTCCCCCATTTTCGACCTTTGAAGCTGTCAGCAGAACTTGAATAACATCAAGAGATAGAGAAGACCCAGAAAGCGAAGAACGTGAAAGACAGTTATGGTAGTTACTAGAGAGAGAGGGGTTTTGATTGCGAGAGGTGGCTTTGAGGGCTTTTTACGCCATTATCAAAGCAACCCAGTACTTAAGACCTGGTAATGAGCCCCCTGGACTCCAAAAAGAGGAACGATGAGAGAGAGAGAGAGAGAGAGCGGGGAGCATGTGGGCGTGCTTTACAGAGAGACAGGGTGACCGAAGGTTGAAAAAGAGAGCTTTGGGATTTGGATGGGTAAACTCTTTTTATTTTGAATAATGTTTTGTAACTGTGAATCTTTTCTTTACGAATCTCTCCAATGTCCAAAATGATATTGTTATCGTTTTGGGTTTTTTTTTTTTTATATTATTTTTCAATAACGTAGAGAGAAAGAGAGAAGAGCAGAGAGGAAGAGGGAGAGAAAGAGAGAAGAAGAGGGGAAGAGAGAAAGAGAAGAGAGGTTCGTCGATCGCCGATCGTCGCCCCTGGTTTTCGTCGTCGCAGCCCAGCCCCGTCGCAGCCTAGCCCTGCCGTCGCCTCTGCCCCCTGACTCCGCCTCCGCCTCCCTCCTCGGCCTCCGCCTTCGCCTCCGCCTCCGCCTCCGCCTCTGCCTAAGCCCCCCTCTGGTTGATGTTGGCCCCTCCTTTCCTTCTTCTTCTTTCTTCTTCTTTTCAAATTCGGAGGATTCGGGAGAGGGCTTTTTCGAGCTACCAATCAAGATTCTTTTATTTTTTGGAAATTCATTTTCTCTATCATCACAACCAATATTTTTTATTTTTTATTTTTGAATGATAAGGACATTTTTACGTAATTTTTATATAGAGGATAGAGTATATGTTATATGTTACTTTATATTGTTATAATTATTTTTAATAGTAAGATTTATTATATTTATATTGGGTGTTTAGAAAATAATGAATATATCCCATTATAATTAATAAAAGGTAGTGTCACGTAATATCGTGTGTTTGATTAGACGAATTGGATAAAAGGGATTAAAATCCATCGAATTTGAATCTTTGGATTATGAATCGTTCGGACTATTTGATTGGATTAGATGTGTATTACGGGTTTGTTTTCTTATAAGATTAAATGTCTAGAAATTACTATTTTTAATTAATCGAATGTTTGGTTAGACAGACTCGATAAGGATAAATGAGTAAAAAATTATTTTATCATTTTTTAATTTTTTACTAAGTAATAACAATATTAAACATATCTTTAATATTTTAATTCTTTTTAGCTAAATTAAATAAAAATTTATTTTATTTTTTACACAATTAAATAATTGTTTACTAAGTAATAGCAATATTAAACATATTTTTAATATTTTAATTTTTTAGCTAGGTTAAATAAAATTTTCTTTTCTTTTCTTTTTTACATAATTAAATAAATTTATTTTTTAAAAATTAAATAAATAAAATATCAATAAAAATATATGTTATTTTTTAATTAAAATTTAATAAAATAATGAAATTAAATAAAACATCTATTAAAATTTAAATAATGAAATTAAATAAAATATAAACAAAATTTTAAAATAAAACATCAATAAAATATTTATAAAAAATTATTTTAAAAAATTAAATAAATAAAACATTAATAAAAAAGTTAAATAGAATTATTTTATTTTTAAATTGATACATTTAAATTTTATTGAATTTTACTAAATATAATATATAATTAAATAGTAGATGATCAAAATTATCATTTCACCACATAATCCCATGAGATTGTTATCCCATGAAAATTGTCCCACCCCTGGGACACTGTAATGCCACATATGAAGGGATAAGGAGTCCGGCCAGACTCCGTGTCCAGCGAACTAAAAAAAACAAACAAACGCCAGATAAAAGGCTTCCAATAGATTACAATCTAAATAGTGTTTAGTCCTACCCCCTTATCCCTTGAATCAAACGCACCCTTAGTATACAAAAAAATTCTCGGCCTATTTTGTCTAGTTTGTCAATTAACAGAATAAATTACAAATATATTCCTTGAAATTAATTTAAAATACGATTTGTTCTTATAATTTTAAAAATTACATCTCTCTTGCTCTTGAAATTTCTAATTTCATAATAAATAATATATTTTTTAATAAATCATCAAGTCAATTAATAGTTTTTAATGATATCAGAAATTTATTTCAATTAATAATTTAGACAATTTTATCATTATATGAGAGAGTAGTTAGAAATTTTATTTTTTCAATTAATTTTGTTAAATAAAAATTCTAATAATGAATTTTTTATAATTTTTCAAATCACAAGGGCCAATTAATATTTTAAACAAACCTCAATAGATGTATATATAATTTGCCCTTAATTAAAGTAAGGTCTCAGAACATACTTTTTTTTAGTGATTTTTTATTTTTTTAACTAGAATATTAGATATTTCGAATGACTTTTTTTTTTTTATAAAAAAAAATGTATAAAAGTAGTGTTAATGGAAATGAATCATTGACACTTTGATATTTGTTAATTTTTTTACTTTTTTAATAATTTTTTAATTTTTAAGCTACTGTGTAGAGTTGCCAAACTAGGTCAGGATGTGGGATTCATTTGACTCTTTTACCTCTATTATTTAGGGTTAATTATATTGAACTCCATTGAGATTAGAGAAAATGTAGTAATTTTTATAGTTTTAACATATTTAACTCACATAACGCTTAACTTTATTTTTATCAAGGGCAAACTTCACTTTACCCCTTGTAGTTTGGACTAGATACGGTTTACCCCCTTGGCATCTGAAAATCAGCACATAACCCCCCTATGATTTATGGACTAAAACGCACACTAACTTTTATTAACAGAAATTGTAAATTGACAGTTATACCCTCATCTTCATCTTGTTCTTCTCTCTCTCTCTCTCTCTCTTTCTCTCTCTCCATCTTCATCTTCTTCTTCTTCTTCTTCTTCTTCTTCTTCTTCTTCTTCTTCTCTCTCTCCATTTCAAACTTTATATGTGTACATATACATATTTATACATACACAATCTGAACTTTATATTTTTCTTGATCATGTATACATACATATACATGTATACATATCAAACCCAGTTTACAATCTCATCTTCATATATATCATAGTGTAAGGCATTGATCCGCTTAGCAATCACAAATATATAGTAGTAAATATGATCTCAATGTTTGTGGTGACGACGTTGTGACAATCCATAGTTTGTTGCACAGAAAACATTATCTGGAAAGCCCAAACAAAGGATTCATCCAAGTAATTATAATTTGCGAACAGTTCCAAAAATCCTCTTTTTTTTAAGGAAGAAATAGAGTTGGAAACAATCACTTGATTAAAATTCATTACAAAAACCGAACTAGATAAAGATCGCAGATCTGTCACATAAACAAACCCTAGAGAGAGAGAGAGAGAGAGGAAAAGAGAGAAAGACCTGACTGAACTTGGTCTGGAGAGTGGAGTTGACTTCGTCGAAGGCACAGCAGAGGTTAACGAACTCCTTGCGAGCCTCATCGAAGACGAGAAACTTAGCCATCCCATCTCAATGTATGCTCTTCCCTACCTTGAATGCTACATCTACTACCTTCTTCGCCCTAGTTTCACTTATCTTCTCTCTCTCTCTCTCTATATATATATATATATAGGAATGAACATAAAAAAGAGAAAGAGAGAGAGATAAGAAAGATAACAGACTACCACCTCAAACACCACCACCACCACCACCAAAGAGAGAGCTTTTCTTATAACCTAATAAATAGAATCCAACAACGAAGAACAATTGAACAATACAAAATCCTAACTCAAGCAATCAAAATCACATATAAAACTGATTTGATAAAAGTGACATAGATCTGATAGAGAGAGGTTTTGAGTGGATTAAGAACAATAAAAGCCCTAACATGTGAAAAAGTGAAGCTGAACTTACCATGTAACTCACCATTTTTGAAGAGCTCTCTATCTCTAGAGGTGTTGTGGTGAACATTCAGTGCTTTTGTGCGATAGTGAGAGAGAAAAAGAGAGAAAGAACGAGAGACGGTGAGAGAGAAAGGAAGAAATGGTGGATATAGCGATTCTGGTCTCGACCCGTTACCTTTTGCATTTGGGACTCGGGTTGGTATTGTTTAAATAGTTATTCTTATCTTTTTCCCTTGTCTTCCCCTGCAATTTGGTTATCGGGTTGTAATTGTGCGTTTGGAACGTATTGGTTGTTTGTATTTCAAAACCTGTGCAACCTGTGTTGCACAGATTTTGGCCTATCCACTTGAGCGGGCATTGTCACGCTCGAGCGGGCTTTACAAATTTTGCTCCTTCGCTCGAGCGTCCATTCTTTTGCTCGAGCGAGATTTGTGTACTCTCAGTTTTTTTTTTTTTTTTTTTTTTTTTCAGAGTACATT